ACTGCCGCGCCGCACGGATACGCGTAATTGTCGAAAAGCGCGTCTTTGTCGGCATAATTTTTCGTGACTATCGGGCGGCGATAACCTTGATTCCACGAACCGAAATAATTATTTTGATTTCCGCGCACGTTGTTGTAGAGAAAATCTTCGTGACCTTTCGATTTTTCGTGATACAGCGCGTCGAAATAGGTTGCAAACGATTCGTTGAGCCAAATCTGTCCCCAATCGCGGGTCGTAACGAGATCGCCGAACCATTGATGCGCGAGTTCGTGCGCCTGTAACGAATCCGAATCCTGATCGATCAATTCGCGTTCGTCGTGGATCATTTCTTCGATCATCGTGGTCGCCGAAATGTTTTCCATTCCGCCGCCGAAATCTTCGACAAAGGTTTGCGCATATTTCGGGTAAGGATATTTAACGCCCGTTACTTTCGAGAAAAAATCGATCATATCAGGCAGATTTTTGACGGTTGCGGCAACCTCTTTCGTTTCATTTTTGTAACCGAAATTATTGACCGGAATGCCGTTCCATTCCTGCTTCACATCGGTATATTCGCCAACGACGATGGAAGTCAGATAGTTGGTGTAAGGAATATCCATTTTCCAATGAAAAGTATGCGTTCCGTCCGCGTTTTCCTTGACTTCGACAAGTCTGCCGTTTGAAACGACGGTGTATTTTTTATCGACCGTTGCCTTTAGTTCGGAAGTGCGAAAATCGTTCGGCGAATCGTATGACGGAAACCAGTAACGATTAAATTCGGTTTCGCCCTGCGACCAGATTTGCATCGGTTTGTTCGGATTTTCCTCGTTCGGTTTGATAAAACGAAGTCCGCGCCCGAAACTGCCGATCGCGGTTGCCGCATCTTCGACCTTATTGACGTAACCCGTTCGATAATCGACCTTCACGGCAAGTTCTTCACCGACTTTGTATTCGCGGTCGAGCAAAATTTCCAGATTATTATCCTCACCTCCGCCTTTATAATTGAATGTCAACGATTTTCCGCTCGCCAAACTCACGGAATTTATCTGCATCTGCGCCGCATCGAGCGTGATTTTGTTCGTCTTCTTAAAAGGCGCAAGCGTCAAGACCGTGTTGCCGTAAGCCGCTTCTTTATCCCAATCGAACCGCAGATCGATGGCAACGTGTTTAATATCAACAT